TATGCTCTTTGGCAAACAATGACTCCGTCCTTTCCACAATTCTAATTACAATCCCATACATCGCACACAAAAAATTCTAGATTCTGGAAAGACCAAAGAATATATAGACTTAAATAGACAAAGGAGCTGAGCACCCTTGCCTCCCGAAGCTGCATCTCCGCATCTCCCTTGAAATGGCTTCAGGTCGAAAGAAGGCAAAGCTGGCCCTGCCGTACAAGACCTTACACACCTATTTCAGAAATCAAAAGTGAATTCCTTCGAAAGCTAGAACGAATGAAAGTGTATGAAAGCTCTTCTACGTCCCTGGTCCTGAGCGCTTTGTCTCCGCAATTCATGCCTCCTAAATCTCAAGCTTGTGAATCCCCGCTCACTTCCTTTTGAATTGGATGCAGCCAATCGTTAAACATCTGAGTGATCTCCTCAAGGCTTTTGTCCTAGCGAAGGGAAACTCTGCATAATTTGCCAAGTTTGTTCCTGCAAAGATGTGTACTGTCCCTCAAGCCTCAAGCTTCACGTCCATGTACTACGACAGAGCAATCCATATCCACTCGACACTGATCTCGACGATGAACTGATCATTTTCCGGAAATGCGCTCTTAGTATTAGGCACAACCTGATGTACATTTATATGCTCTTAACATGAAACCGGGGTCAAGCATAGCATGGATTTCTTGTCAGAATGCCTGCGTCAATGTTTGACAAACTAGTACACACACAGCGTTGTTCCTGCAAAACCTAAACAACGTCAAAGCTGAAAGCTTGCAAACTTCAGGTGTTTTTATTATGTGGGTCCGCTCGAACCATCTGGAACCGGTCCATAAAAGACTTCAGAACTCACAGACACAATGAATACTTGCAGCCCATGCACTTGATCCCAGCAATGTAGCTGCCAGAGACGAAAACATGGCCACTGTCACTACCACGAAGAGGCCACCACGTCCTTGATAGCTGTCAGGATCCTCCTGCACATATCGAACACCCTGCCGAACTCTGTCGGGCTTGTTCTGTCAAGCTATTTCTAGAATCTGACTGCACTCTCTACAAGCTCCAAACATATAGAGCAAGCCTTATCAACTTACTGTCTTGCTTTCGATTTTTATTGGCAAAGGACCTGGCAGGCCGCAGGCCGCTGAACTGAACGGTCTCATGCTCGTGTAGAAAAATCCACGCGAACGTTTGAGAGGCTTGGAAGCAACGAAATGTTTGGAACAGCAAACAGTTTCTCCTTCATGCCAGCTCTTCGCAAAATATAGTCTTTCGCAGGAGACAACGACTGCTTGGAGCTGTGGACGACCACAGGTGCCATCGTGCCAAATTCAAAATGAGGCTAGGAGATCAGAGCAGCAAAAGCTGCAGAGAGAAGGGAGAAGGCTGAATGACTTGCTTTTTGTTGTATTCATGTTTAGAGAACTTGAACTTTGTTCATTTTCACAGAAATGCTCGGAAGCTCGCGCCACACCCAGAGTTTTTGCGGCCCCACAAGGTTTCTCTTCAATTTGGGTGTGTATTATGTCTTTTGTAGGGAGACACTCGGGACCTGGCTGGGTAGACTGGTCTATTCCCGTACCATCCAGGGGGCGGTTGCCTGAGAGATCTCTCTATTTCAAAAGCTCCTAGTAGCGTCCTTGTTACTAGTAGTACGGCCAGGAGCCCCTAGTAGCGTCCTTGCTTCTAATAGCGATGCCAGGAGCCAGGGTGTACTGAGGGATGGATCTTCTCATTCTTCTCTTCTCTTAATCGAACCTCTCTTTTCTTAATCGAACCTCTCTTCTCTCAATGGAACTTCTCTTCTTTTAATCGCTTAATCGCTTATTCTAATCACTTAATCGCTTGATCGCTTGTTTTAATCGCTTAATCGCTCATTCTAATCGCTTAATTGCTTGATCACTTGATCGCTGGTTCTAATCGCTTAATCGCTTGGAGAGGTTTCGGGGCCACTCTGTGTCAACAATGCAGGCAGGAGCCCCTAGTAGCGAACGTTGTTCCTCTACAGAGATGTTGGGGAATCCTCTGTCTGCTTCTTGTTCCTTGATTCTATATGCATCAACAGCTTCCTCCCAACATCTTCCCCTGAAGGAACCGAAGTCGGGAAGAAGCAGAAGCCTGATCCTCCGGGTAAAACTTCACTGCCTGCAGCTGGAAGTGCTACTCCCTTAAAGGAGACTGGGGGTATATAGTATGATAAAGGAGACTGTGAAAACCTTCCAACACTATTGCAAGACTGGCAAAATACAGGCTGTGTGAAGCTCGAGAGGTCTCTGGTAGTGTCTGCATTCTTTCGAGACATTGTCAGGAAGGAGGATTGCCGTCTTGTTGCACCCAAAACAATGCTTGGAAGGCTTTGACAACTTGACAACTTGGCATTCGCAGCTTCGCAGCCTGTACGGCTGTCATACCCGCAGTTGAAAGGCCAACCTGCGGTTCGGGAGTGTCATCAAACGAAACCAAGCTCAAAGTGTGGTGGTGTTCTCCTTTTTGTCTCCAAATCTCAAGGTTCAAGTGTGCTCAACTCTTGAGACAACAAACCACTACTTCGGGCGCACACTGGTGAAGGTCTCGAGGCTCCACAAAATCACCGTCCGATCCGTCGAGCCTGTCGGATCGCTGGGAGCTGGGAGTTGGGGCTTAGTGTAGGGACCAGGTCTTCAGGTCTGTTTCTAATAGCAAACATTGTTACTACTAGTAAGGCACCTGTTACTAGTAGCGATGCACTTGTTACTAATAGCTTCTTGTTACTACTAGTAAGGCACTTGTTACTACTAGCGTGGCACTTGTTACTAGTAGCTTCTTAGTGTAGGGACCAGTTCCGACTCATAGCGGGTATGATGGAACTGTCTCCAAAGTTTATGTATATACGTGTGTATATATATGTACAAGGGACCTCCATGTATAATGTAACGTACTATTGGTTCTAATATATTATCATACTATATATAAAAGGAAACTTCAAGTTATATAAAACAAATTATATCAAACAACGAAAACCAAGTATTTTGTGTTTTTATATTCTATTTTTGAGACCTACTAAAGAATAAAAATGAAACAACTACATATGTATTTTTTGTGTTTTGCGGTCTTACAAAAATAAAAAAATAGAAACAAATAAATCCTTCAGGTTTCAAGGTTTCCAGGTATTGAAAAATTCTTTAAAAAACAAACAAAAACACTAAAAAACTAGAAAAACTAAATATTTAGTTTTTTTTAGTGTTGCAGCCGTTTAAGAACAACTAAAAAACAAAAAACACTAAATAGTTGTTTTAGTTTTGCGACCTTTGAAGAAAAGAACAAAAACTAAAAAAACTAAATCCTTCAGGTTTCGAGGTTTCCAGGTATTTAGAAATTCTAAAAGAACTAGAAAAAAATAGACGTCAAAACTCTAAATATTTAGTTGTTTTAGTTTTGCGGCCTTTAAAAAAAAATATATATATTTAGTTTTTTTGTTTTGCGGCCTAAAAAAAAAAACTAAAAAAACTAAATATTTATTTGTGTTTAGTGTTTTTAGTGTTTTTTTGAATTTCTAAATACCTGGAAACCTCGAAACCTGAAGGATTTAGTCTTTTTTAGGTTTTTTAGTTTTGCGGCCCTCTAAAAAATCTTAAAAAACTAAAAAAACTAGAAAAACTAAATATTTAGTGCTTTTAGTTTTTTTGTTTTTTTGGAATTTCTAAATACCTGGAAACCTCGAAACCTGAAGGATTTTGTTTTTTTAGTTTTGCGGCCTTAAAAAAAAGAAAACTAAAAAAACTAGAAAAACTAAATATTTATGTTTTTTTTAAGTTTTTTTTGAATTTCTAGACACCTGGAAACCTCGAAACCTGAAGGATTTTGTTGTTTTAGTTGTTTTTCTTTTTCTTTAAAGGTCGCAGAACTAAAAAAACTAAATATTTAGAGTGGTTTAGTGTTTCCTTTCTTTAAATGCAGCAAAACAAAAAAAGAAAAACTAAATATTTAGTTTTTTTAGTGCTTTGTAAAAGGCCGCAAAACAAAAAAAACACATACTTAGTGTTTTTTTATATTTTTTCTCAAGGATGCAACACAAAAGAAAACAAAATATTTAGTTTCTTTTTTATATAAGGGTGCAAAATTAAAAAGACAATATAGGCCGCACAACTCAAAAGAATAGAAATTTAGTTGCTTAAAGGAATGTCTAAATACATGAAAACCTAGGAACCTGGAGTTATTTTTTTGTAGGATTTGTTTAAATCATATTGAGGAACCTGAAGGATTTTGATTTTTAGTCGTCTGCAAAAAAACTAAATATATCCCCACACTTGTTTGCTGATAAAATGATACCCCTTGAGGGACTCCTTATAAAATGATACCCCTTGAGGAACTCCTTATAAAATGGGGATCTTGGTGATATACAAAATTACGTTTCCAGTTCTCTTTTCATAAAGCGCAAACATTTCCGAAAAAACGGAAAACAGTACACACAAACAATCAGCAAAACAAACATTCACTCAAACAAACAACACATGCCTGCAGTGAACAATGCACACCTTTTACAATTGTGGCATATGTTACATGTTACATTCCATTGCTCCATGGCTTTTGTAAATCTACTTTAAAAAATCACTATATGTTCAATGTCACAATGTGTGATTTGTTTTTGTGTTGGTGGGCTGCCAAAGTCCAAATCCCAGGAACTACAATGATTTATTATCAGTGTGGATGGAGAAAAGGGAGAAAAGAATACTAAGTATAATGTGTCTTCATTGTGGAGGGAGAAAAGGGTGAAAAGGAAGAACGTAATATAACCGCCGTTTAAGCAATCTTTTTCAGAACCCAATCACTATGAGTTGGCTAAACTTTTTTTATTTCTCTCTTTTTCATTGCTTTATAAGGGCTGGTGGTGAATTACACTATGCCTATCGTACATCCCCCATGATTTGGTAGATCTACTCATTTATAGGCTACTGGCAATTTGCTATAGGCCATTATTAACAGACCATGCCATGACCAAATTTAAGCGCACAAAACACAAAGGTTGGACAAACCCATTGTATAAACCCCTTACCCTCCAAAGTCCATCGTATTTGCGCACACTCTCCGACAACACCCATTTTATAAACCCCTGACCCTGCCAAGGCCCTCGTATTTGCGCACGCCCTCCACAACAACCCATGTTATAAACCTCACCTTGTCAAAAGTCCCTCGTATTTGTGCACACCCTACCACAAAAACTCATTTTATAAACCCCTCACCCCCATCGGATTTGCGCACACCCTCCCACAAAACCCATCATGTTATAGACCCCTCACCCTGCCAAGGCCAATCGTAGTTGTGCACACCCTTCCACAAAAACCTTTTTTATAAACCCCTCACCATAGACTGGACTACTATGTATGATATGTAGTTTGTCAACCTGTGTTCGCTTCTGCTTCATCTTGCATTGATGTACATTACCCTACCCTGTGCTACTTCTCCTGTTTGTATCCCACCTTCTTCTACATCTATTTGGAATAGTATATTATCCGAGTCTCATTGCATCTTTGACACAATCCTTTTTTTAATTGGAGTAGAGTACAGAAGTTGGGACGAAGCTGAAAGGCGAGGAGTGGGCTAGTTATCCGATAAATAATAAGAAAGCACCCCCTAATACAAATAATATGTAAACTCTTGCATAAGCTCCTTTTCATATTTATGCACCTAAAGGCTTTGCAAGCAGCAAGCAAATGATGCAGGATGCCCTGGACATGCACATACTGTTTCACTCTTATATACGTTGCCTATTCTTCAGACCGAAATTGAATGATACAGAACATGAAAAGATGTGAACGCGCAAGTGCGCAGAAGGTTTCAACCTAGGACAGGAGAGGGAGGGAGTGACAGACGAAAAGTAAGCCTACAACCTAACTTTTATGCTTGTAATGCAACGGAGGACTCAACAAGGATCGCACACCCATGATATTGTTCAATTTTGGTCACAATAATCTCATGGGTGTATTCTGTCTGTATGTATGCTACTCTACTCTGCGCTATTCTACCTGGATAACTAGCCTAGTCTATCTTATCCTGCCATAGTCTTTGACACACTCATTTAAACTCGAGTTGCATCTTTACAATGGTTTCCAATAGTGGTTAGAGCCAAGATCAGATCTTTACACAGCCGACCAGAACTACCTTGTACTTTGTCAACCACAGACCAGGACTACTACAGTAATTATATATTGTATTATATTATATTGTATTATACTATATTTTTTTATATTATATTATATATATTGTTATATACATGTAGTTTATCAACCTGTGTTCACTTCTGCTTTATCTTTTACCCTACCCTATGCCACTTCTCCTGTCTGTCACCAACCTTGCTCTACATTTATTTGGCATAGTGTATTGTCCGAGTCTTCTTCGCACAATCGTTTTTTTGAATAGAATACAGTAAAGTACAGTAGCTGGGACTGGGACGAAGCTGAATGGAGAGGAGCGGGCTAGTTATCCGATAAATAATAAGAAAGCACCCCCTAATATACAGTAACCAATATGTAAACCCTTTCATAAGCTCCTTTTCGTATTTATGTACCTAAAGGTTTTGCAAGCAAATGATGCACTCTAACGCTCTGCAGGATGTCCTGGAAATGCGCGTACTTTTTCACTCTTATATACTCTGCCCATTTACCCTAACTATGTCCACCCGAGACCAGGACTACTAATTACATATTACATACATCATATATATATATATGTAGCAATTAAGTTCTTAATCGGACTCGACCGAGTCCTGCACTCAAGATAG